GAAAATGTTACTCAAACTTTGGGCTAGTTTTTGGTGTTGCGTTAATTCCTTGGAGAAGTAGGTATAGTTTCGACAAATATCAAATGTCACTAATGTCAATGACAAGTTGACAGGGACGAACCGAAAGAAGAATTTGGGGGGGGGCAAAAAGTAAATTTTTCCAACTCAGTTTTGAATTATCATATTTCCGTTTTGGATAAAATGTGAATGTTGCCAACCTACAAACAAAAACAAAGAAGTGAATTTTGTTAACTTATTTTTGAGTTGTCCAATTTTTGTTTTGGACAACAAATTGATGATACGAATTGATCACCCCATTGAAAAAATCGTTTCTAAAAACTTATTCAATTTGACCACTGAAAAAGTATAGCATATTTATTCACTATATTTTCTGAGCAGTAGGAAATTTTGAGTTTGGACTTTAAACTGGGAGTTGGAAATTCAGAGTACGCAGTTGAAAATGCTGGGTTCGTACAGAGAATTCAACTTTCCGAATCGAAACTTGAAATTCAGAACTGAAAATTGGGAATTTGGTTTTTTCGATTTCAAGCTTTACATTCTCACTTATCAGTCGGATAGTTCGAAGTTCTTAGTTTGAACTGAGGAAATGTAATTTTCCTTCATGTTTGAACTTGGAAATTCCGACAACAAAATCGAAATTTTGTGTTTCTGAAGTTGGAAATACGGAAAGTCCATGAAACGTTTTTTTGTAAAACTTCCTCAACCTCAATTTGCCAACTCGCCTAAGATTGACGGGGTGGACCTTCCCCCCAGCCCCTCCCATGGGCCCGTCCCTGCATTTTGACTTTCATGGCTACTGGGTGATGGCGTTAGTAGTTTCAGAATGAATAACAGTTTCGCGAATCAAAAATTCTCCATTGCAGTAGAAAAAAATATAGTCGACGGAAAAAATTTGTAACCAACTCGTGAATTAATAAGGCGATTAATGATCGCGAACATTATTCTCCCTCACATTAGTTAGTTTGATCAACTATTTCCGATTGATTGAATGAAGAAGCCTATCTATTTGATACTTATTTATTTCCCAAAATCTCAGTTGAATTAATTTATTATGCAAGTATTGTTTAAATTTAGCTCTCTTACTTAGGCAATTTTTTAAAGTTGTGTTTGTATTTGTGATATTTTGTTTAGTCTGCCAGTTAGTTGGCAGTGAAACCGTATTTTATATGGTATTACATACAGGGTGTGTCAGAGAAACTGGCGATCATAAAAGCTGAATACCTACTGACTGAAATGCATTATTCTGGAAATAATGAATTTGAATAATTGGGCATTTCATTTAGGTATTGATATACAGGGCTTTCATTTCAAAACTCGAATCACTCTCAATAATCTTGGTTCTGATGCTGTGATCACAATTTTAAGCGAAAATAACTCGGTTCAGATATCTAGGGAAAAAGAAGCTGACCGCAGACAAACCTGTATTGGTAATTCGGATGACCCCATTTAATTCTTTAGTTACAGAAAAAGAAAATTCGAATTTGGCAGAGGGAATTTGAGAAGCTGCGTGTAAGGTCTGCGTGTAAGGTATATTGGGTGTCCCAAGTTATCGTATACAGGCAATATCTCGCTTATCTGATAAGATAATTGAAAAATTGAATTGAATTTTTCAATCATCTTCTCAATTAAGCGAGATATTGACTGTATACGATAACTTGGAACACCCGGTATTTGCTTGTATTCAAAAATTTTTTAACCCCTTTCAAAATGGCGGAGTATACATCAGAAAAAATATTTTTCTACAAAGTAGCCATTTTTTCCATAATTCTGAGAGAACATATTTTTTTAAAAAACTTCAAGCCGAAAAGTTATTTTCTGTTTTTTTTTTGGTTAAAAGCAATAAGACTCTGAAGTTGACATTTTGAAATGAATCTCAGCTGACCCCGCCGTAATAAAAATCAAGTCGGCCGAGTTTTAGTTTCAATCGGTTTTAATATGGAAGCAAAATGTATCCCACAGAGCTACCACGTGTAATACAAGTCTAAATAACTCGATTGGGACCAATTTATTTAAATAACAAAATGTACCGTTTGTCCGTGAGACGAGTTGAAAGGTTTCATTGAAAAACATATTTTTGTTCGCTGTTCAAAAATGAGAGAAACAAATGGGATGAAATTTGATAAAACTGCATTTCAGAGGATAACCCTTCCTTCAGTCATCACAGAAACCCAGAAGAAATAATTGTAGGAGGGTTGAAACTACCCTCACACCTCCTGAAATTTTCTTTAAAACATTCTTAGGGGTGGTAAAAGGCTTCTCAAAAGCGAGCGAGATGACTGATCAATTGTCCTAATTTTTTTAATTTTGTGAAGATTTCGTATTCCGCATAGTTCCGAAGGAAAAGAATGTTTTCTCAAATAATGCTAACAGATATCCCTAGTAAAAGTTTGATCAAATTGTAATACAAAATTAGTTGGCAGTGGAAACAGATAAATTGACATTAATAAAAAAAAACATTCTGCCTCTGTTTTCTCTGTTCAACTAATTTTTTCATCATAATGATATTGAACTTTGACTAGGAACTATGCGAAATACGAAATTTCCACAGGGGTAACAAAACAAGGATAATTAATCTCACTTAGAAAATGTGAGAACCATATTAGCACCCCTGAATGTTCTGAAAACAATTTCAGGGAGTGCGGGTGGTTTATTCAACCCTTTCTACAATTACTTTAGGGTTATCCTCTTAAATGCACTTTTGTCTAATTTCATCCAATGTGTTACTCTCATTTTTGAACAGCGAACATACAGTGTGTCCCACTTACCATGCTCACCATGGGTATCCTTTTAACGGTGAGAGATACGAGGTCGGTTAAATGATACCAAATGTGTAGTTTGTCAAGGCCAACTATAATGTGAAAAAATATTTTGATAAAATCTATTCGTTTTTGTTTTATACGCAAAAATTAAATTTTGATAATTTTCATGTATCCTTTGTAACTTCTCTATTTATGAAAATACTCAAATAGGAATTTCACATTCTCACGGCAGTTTTTCAAAGTGATTTAGAAAAAAAAATGAAATTCATACCAACTCTTCTAAAATTTGAGATATCAGCACCAACTTTAGTTTTTCAAATGTAGGTCATAGCTCACTATGACTTAGTTACAAATAACTTTTTTTTCTCTTACAGATGATATGTCGCAGTAATAGTTTTGTGTTGATAACAACGGAGTTATCGTCATTTATATAAAAACAAAAAATTATTTGGAAGCCGCCATCTTGAATTTATAAATTTTAACAAAAAATCATGATCTTCGACCCCCACTTCCCAATTTTGAATGGAATCGGACCAAATCTTGTTCGCCATATTGGAGCAGCCATTTTTTTTATTTCAACAAAAATTCCATAACTCCGATTAACTTGAAATTTGGCAGATGTTCATAATTTCGGTGACAATACATTATGGAATTTTTGTTGAAATTAAAAAATAATGGCTGCTCCAAGATGGCGGACAAGACTTGGTCCGATTCCATTCAAAATTGGTAGGTGGGGGTTTTTGAGGTCGGAGATCATGATTTTTTTGTTGAAATTTATAAATTCAAGATGGCGGCTTCCAAATAATTCTTTGTTTTTGTATACATGACGATAACTCCGTTGTATCAACACAAAACTATTACTGCGACATATCATCTGTAAGAGAAAAAGAAGTTATTTGTAACTGAGTCATAGTGAGCTATTACCTACATTTGAAAAACTAAAGTTGATGCTGATATCTCAAATTCTAGAAGAGTTGGTATAAATTTCATATTTTTTTCGAAATCATCTTGAAAAACTGCCATGAGAATGTGAAATTCCTATTTGAATATTTTCATAAATGAAGAAGTTATGCAGGAGACATGAAAATGATCAAAATCTGTTTTTTGCGTATAAAACAAAAACGAATAGGTTTTATAAAAATATTTTTTCACATTATAGTTGGCCGTGAAAAACTCCACATTTGGTGTCATTTAACCGACCTCGTATCTCTCACCGTTAAAAAGATACCCATGGTGAGCATGGTAAGTGGGACACACTGTATACGTGTTTTAGTAAACTTTGAACTAGTCTCAGGGACAAACGGTACATTTTTTTATATAAATAACTTGGGTCCAATCAACTCGTTTTGAATTAGGGGAACACCCAGTATATTAAGCTTACAAAACAATTTGTTTCCTGGCCGACTTGATTTTTATTACGGCGGTGTCAATGGATATGTATTCGAAAATGCCAACTCTAGAGTCCCATAGCTATCAACTAAATGAAGACAGAAAAACATTTTCGCATGAAAGTTGGTGAAACAAATATATTCCAGAATAAGAAAAAACAATTGTGAATTTGTAAAAAAACAAATTTTTTCTGTGACGGGAAAAAAGTTTGGCATTTCATCTTTGTTGGCAGGTTATAAAATGTCACTTTTCATGAATTACTTTTTTCCCGTGGGCAAAAAGTGAGTTCTTTTTTCCCGGATATATATCACATATATATACATGCACTGTTGATGGCTTTTGTTGTGCTATAGTTCCGAAAAATGAGTCAATAATACCGTCTCCGAGAAAGAATTGCAAGTCCTTTTATCTTCCATTCGACTTCGCTGTTACGTATATCACTAAACAACCACTAAATTCGCAATTTTTTGAAATCAAATCACAGAATTAGACTGACAGAAGTGACATCAGATATTTGATTACTTCAAAAGAATGATAAAGATGCCTAGAAACGCAGGTGTCCCTACTGTTAGAAACTCAAAATTTCACGTCGATAATTTTCGGATTTCAAAATAATGTAATATCTTCTCAATATTGATTCGTGCTTTCTTCTGTCACAAAAAAAATAGTGTATTATACACGGGAAAAATATTAGATTTTAGCTCACGGTTTTTTGTCTCCCTCCGCTACGCGTCGGGAGACGACACAATCTGGAGCTAAAATCTATCACTTTTTTCTCTTGTATAATAAATAACTATTTCTGACTCCATTTACACCATTCTGAAAGAGGATGAAAAAATTTTAATATAAAAAAATATACCTCACACACAGCTATTTTAATGTATCAATGGAACATATTAGAAATTGTTTGAAAAATCTCCTGAATTCGAAAAGGTTTCAATAGTTATATGGCTCATTTTGAAAAAACAATTTTTAATTTTATCAATGATTCCACTTCTACAGGATGTTTTTATAAAAAACTTCGGCAGATGATAACTGCGTTGATTCTGAACATTTCCTCTTACCCAGAATATCTCAATCGCACGCACTTTTAGATCATTTGATTGATTTATTGTCTATTATCATTGCAGATTGAAAGTTATTGAGGGTGAGTGTTTATGAAATGAAAGCAAAGTTACAATTTATAATCGACTGTTTTGCTGTTTCACATTTTACTATCTGAACCAAAGTGTATTTTTGTTTAACATAAGGTTGAAACTAGTGAAACTTCTTTGGACTAATTTTAAGCAGAGTATGATTGTGAATGTCTTAGTTGAAACATAACATACACTTTACCTTAATATTTTAAAATTCTATTTTATAAGATTTAATATATGTACAGAATGTAAAAACGACCACAATAATAATATTAATATATTCTATTTATCAGGTATCTGTGGGATCTTTTATTTCAGACTTTTTTTTACACTGGGTTTGCCCGTCAATAAATAAATGAAATACTAACTGCAATCAAAACAGAAATAAACTTCGTGGTAAGAGTTCGTACAAAAAGTCACTTTCGTCTTGCTCAATATATTGAAATTTCTAGAATATGTGAAATAGGAGGGAATTACTTAACAACTATTCCTCTAAACTATTGTGGATTTGTGTGTCCTAAAAAGCATTCTCTAACATTTTTTCGAAACTCCTGTTTCAACTTGTTATACTATTTAAGAAAAATGTTATCACATGGAATTTCAATTTTTGAATTTCGTCTAGCTGTGACTTACTATATGCTTTATTGTTAAATTCGTGTATGAAATCACATAGGATTATTGATATTCAAAGAACATTTTCATGCATAACCGCATATTATGATCTATAGAAATTATTGTTCTACAAACGTCAAAAAATGACAAGGTTCAAGCATTGATGACAATATGCGAAGTGACACTTTTTTCAGTTTCCTACGTTTTACCACGACACCATGCGCGAAGTACATATTTCGCGCAAGGTATGGAAACATTGTTGACATTGCTGAGTATTCACGAACTTGAAAACTAATGGTATTTAATCTCAAAAGTTCTAGGCATTCTTGTCCTGTGCTCCTTTGTTCTGTATTCTGTATTGATCAAAATTTGACTCAAATGGAAAGTTAATCAACCTCACCAATTCATGTGTTGGAAAATAGAAGAGTAATGGAAATAAATATGAATTAAAGAAGTTTATGGGTCTATAACCGTGTTTCTGGTTGTCTAGTTGTAACTGCCCACCAAGCAGAGTAATATCTCAACAATATTGCAGTAGTATTTCAATGTAATGTGTAATGACTCATTATATATTGTCGCTATCTTACTGCAAGGTCGCAGCAACTACTGTTACGGACGTTCAGCAATATTATGAATGTGATGTTCGTGAATGATAATTCCAGCAAAGTTATTGTAACATTGTGTATGAAATACAGTAACATTTCATATTCAATGCACAAAATTAATTGAATTGAAATATTTTATTTACCTATTAGCGTCCAGCGTCTTCGTTTGAGGACGGCGTGATTGGGTAGAGATAAAAAACATGCGCAATGGTAACAAGGGGTTAGTATTGAGCTCATATCAGACAGGAGTCTGCATCTTTGCATTTTATTGCTCTGCTGTGAATGTTTGGATAAAGGTGGAACACTGCAAATTTGTGATTGCTTGTACGGGTATTATGTTTTTATTTCAAACTTCTTCATAAACAAAGGTGAGTGTGGTTGTGTGACATTTTCTATTACATATGACAACATGAACAATAGAATGCATTTACAAATGTGGATATACAAGAAAAAACCAAATGTTGTGCTGAAATTTGGTGTCCTCGAATGAGAACGCTGGGCTTCAGACTATAACATTATTTCATAATTCTTACATCTATGAATTTCGATATTTTTTGTCTCCATTCCATTCCAGGATGCGGTGGAATATTTATTTTCGGAACTAAAAAAAAAAAAAACTCGAAACCTTCAGAGGTAGATGATTTTACTGATGAGGACGAAGTCAATGACGAGGACCTGGAAACTGCTGATGTTAAAGATATTCTGGAAAGTACTGAGATATTCATTGACGATGCAGATAACACTCAAGTCTAGGAGGATTATTTTCAATCGTCTGACGAAGGAGATAACTTACAAACAATGGTGTTGGTGTCATTTCACTCGAATGGTAGATATTGCCATAGTAAATGGGTGTGTTTTGTACCACATGATACATAAAGGGGATAAGAGGATAGCCATAAAGGATTTCTGAAGAGAAGTAGCATATCCTTATCTGAAAAAAGGACATGAAGATCTATTTCAGTAGTTGTTGCGACCAGGCAGTGAAATAATGTGAAAAATAAAATACTGCTGAAATTTTACATTTTACATGTAAATAATACCGTGTTCGAGGTTGTCAAAAAAATGTAATATGCACCTCGGCGAAAAGCTGAGAATTGTCTCGTTTGTTTGCATGCCTCGGCAGGCTCGACGACTATAATTAAAGTTTTTCGTCCTCGGTACATAATTAACAACTATTACTTAGTGCACAGGCATCCACAAACCCGAACGATCGTCTCTTTTAAAACACCGTGGCTTCCCGCCTTGAAAAACCCTCTCAGCAGGATTGTCCCGCATGTATCTAAAAGTCGCCCTAATTTGAGCAACAAAATGAGGCGGCTCAACTTCTGGAGAAGTCGACAAATTCTCCAGGACGAATCGGTCGTCTTGCCCTTCCAAGAAATCAGCGCCCACAGGGCATGAGTAGTCGAAAGGACTGATGGTGAGAAGTCCCGTGGCGGGATCGTAGATGTCGAGGATTCTTCGGTTGCCCGATAGATGGCGCGCGCTGCGGAGGTGTTCTTCCGGGCCTTTGTCCGGAAAGGTAGCCGGGAATATTTCTCCTGGAAGAGAACATTGAGAATACTCATTACGAAGGTGCTGATTTCCTTTGTTAAATATTTATGAAATGGCTTTTATTATTTTATATTTATTTTATTTTTATTTCAACTTCTTTTTAGTTTGGCTATCGACAGTGTGTCCCACTTCAAGGATATATATCACCCCTAAAAATTGTCATTATCTGATCCATTTCGAAAAACTTATTTTTGTTGGATAACTATTTGAAGAGTGATTTTATTCTTGGACTGTTATCGTGGCCAACTGTGACCAATTTTATTGACATTTATTTCAGATAGTACTATCATATAGGGATTTGTTTTCACAAAAAATAGTGATGAATTCTGAATCAGGATTATTTGAAACATATTTGTACCGATTTTTATCATTATCAAACCCAGGGAGTATGAGAAAACGAATTTATCATTATAATAAACTATGCTATTTCATTGGGTCTCAACACCAACAAAGATTGTTCTCAAAAGTTGTGCTGTCGAACTCAACACCTGTTTTCTGCAAGTTATTCAACTACTCTAACAAATTGGGGATATTCCCGTCCAACTGGAAAATTGCAAGAGTGCAACCACTTCCTGAAAAAGGCGAAAAGACCCATCCTAGCAACTACAGACCGATCGCACTGCTATCTATCATTTCAAAGATCATGGAGAAAGCTCTCCATGTAGTGGTCGACGGAGTTTCATCTGACTCTCTTATCATGAATGATGGTGTTCCACAAGGATCAATTCTAGTACCAACACTATTTCTACTCCATATCAAAGATTTGTTGGGAGCAACTTCATGTCCACTACACAGCTTCACGGATGATAGTACCCTCCATACCGGCTTCTCTTCCAGGGATCCAATACCAGCCAGGCAGATCAGAAATGAACGAGGGAGAAATGTTGACAACATAAATATGGACTTGCCAACAATTCTCGAATAGGGATCCAATAACTTGGTAGATTTCAATGCAAACAAAACACAAGCAGGCCTTTTCTTCAGAAAAGCCGATCTCACTGTGCCCAATATAAGCTTTAACCATACCTTTGGAGACATCCATTTCGATGCTTGGTAACTATCAGCAATAACCTTTCTTGGGAAAATCACGTGAGATCATTTGCTAAAAGTGCATCCCAAAAACTTGGTTTTCTGTTTCGGGCCAGGACCCATTTCACTTACAGTCAGCTGCTCATGATCTATAAGGCACAGATCCGACCTGTCCTGTAATACTGTTCCCATATTTGGAGTACAGCACCCAAACATACCCCGAAACTGTTGGATTCCGTCCAAATAAGGGCAATTCGTCTCGTGGGTGATGCCTCGCTCACAAACTCACTCACTTCTCTGGAACACCGTAGAAAAGTTGGCGATCTGGCTCCATTTCGTAGATATTTTCATTAACGATGCTCTTCTGACATATCAACAATTGTACTTCCCTTGGCAGTCACCGCGAGATTAACCCGTCGAGTTGAGGCTTCGCACCCCTTCGTGGTCACTTTGGAGACCTGCAGAACATATCTTTCCAAAGACTCGTTCATCTTACGAACAGCGAGGCTCTGGAACACATTGCCAAGGGAGGTGTTCCCCGAGGCATATTACCTCCAGAAATTTAAGAAGAACACTAATTCCTACCTTATTTCCCTTGGTTCTCACATGTTCTCTGAACATCACAGGATATCCTTGTTCGTGAGAACCAGAACTTGAAAAAATACTATTATGCTATTGTCATCGGTCCTTGATAAGTCTGCTACGTTTCAATTCAATTAAGAATAGGATTAGATATTTCTCTATGATATTTATCTACAAAGGAGTACATTGTGCTTTTTCAACGTACTCAAAATATTCTATAACTTTCAATTATCAAATTCACAATCATGAAACAAGAGATAGATATGATTTTCATATCAATCGTACAAGATTGACGGGAGCGACTATGAATTAATTATTCCACCAAGGTATATAGTAGATTATAATAAACGACCCATGGAAATCAGATCGACTACTACAATTATAATTGAGTATTTCGAATGGAGATTTGGGTCCTACCAAGAAGGCATAGATATTCATTACATTTTATGAAATATTTATTCGTACTGTGTTGAATTAAAATTCCATTTCATTTCAATTTTCATCTATTCATTGTATGCATTACTATTATTATTTATATTTGTGAATTAGGACTTCCAATTCAAACAAAGATTATTTTCATATTAGACGTTCTGAAGTGGGTCAAAATCATGTTCGAAGAATCGTCTACAAACAATCATACAAACATACAAAGGTACATATACCATACTAATTAAGCCGTGTTAAAAAAATAATGAAAAAAAGACCGTTGAATTGAAGTGTTGTTGAGCCTTACTATAAAAAATCACCAAAGATACCTATTAAATAAGGCCTAGTTTGATCGACACGAATCATCACAGGGTCTGCAAAATTCAGTGGCAAACTTTTTAAAGGACCCCGCATCGCAGTAGGGGGGAAATTGGCTTTCGGTGAATTTTCTCGAATTTTGGATATATCGTAGAACTCGAGATGGTGATCAGATATCACAATTATCAAAGCTCTAAATTCAATAGTTTTTCAAAATTTCGAATGGCCATTGTGAATTTTTCTTTTTGAAAACCAAAATCAAATCGACTACGTTTTGTTTGTCCATGTGACCGGTGAAAATCCAATATAGAGTTCAATGATATCTGCACGTACTCACGATATACAGAGTTGGTCCAAAAATAGCAAATGTTCCAATTATTTTCGAAAAAGTGAGCGGTTGAAATCAATTCATTTTTGGACATTTCGTAGTATACTAATATCAACATCGATTCATGATAATTGAATTTCTTGTATCAGACTACATATTATACACAAGATGTTCAAGTTTCCATGAAACCGCACCCGTCCTGATATCCATATCCATCGAATGATTGGAATCCCGTAAAACTTGGTAAGGAAGTTGATAATTCGTGATGACAATATTTCATGCGAATACCTGAATTATACAGGGTGGTTGTGAAAGTAGTAGTGGAGTTTCCTTGGAGTTGACGTACTCAGGATTTCTGTCTTGTTTCTCAATTGCTCTGGAGGACTACATATGTCTGATTCGAAAAATGCAATCATCATGAATCGATGTTGATATCAGTATGCTACGAAATGTCCAAAAATGAATTGATTTCAACCGCTCACTTTTTCGGAAATAATTGGAACATTTGCTATTTTTGGACCAACTCTGTATATCGTGAGTACGTGCAGATATCATTGAACTCTATAGTGGATTTCCATCGGCCACATGGACAAACAAAACTTAGTCGATTTGATTTTGGTATTCAAAAAGTAAACTTCACAATGTCCATTCGAAATTTTGAAAAAGTCAACTTCAGCACCCTGTATAATCCAAACTATTGAATTTAGAGCTTTGATAATTGGGATATCGGATCAGCATCACGAGTTCTACGATACATCCAAAATTCGAGAATATTCACCGAAAGCCAATTTCCCCCCTATTGCGGTGCGGGGTCCAATTTCAAAGCACTGTATTTTTCTTATTTCAAATTCCTATCGCATCAAAAGTTATTAACTGAAAACTCGTGTATTATCAACTATTCTAATAACCAGAGCGATTTGGACCTCCCAAGAACAGCGCACAAGTTTACAGCTCGACAGTTTTGGTAAACAATATGATTCGGCGAAATTATTAGACAATAACAAGCTGTCGTAACAATCGCCGAATATATCCGGCAAAATAGTATCACTTGCGGTATTACATATGATAAAACTCGAGATTCATGCGATGGAACTTTCAATAACATACCAGTTTTGACGCTAACACCGACTCCATATAAAATCGGCCACGGGATGCCATCCCGAATATCGGTGTTCATTTGTCCCACACAAGCCAATGTCAAATGGATTTCTACAGGATGTTGGTGAAAGGCCTTCATCAAGTCACGAAACAACTTCTCGGATATACAGTGGGCATCGGTGAAGCCTCCTACGAGTTGAACTTCGATTGTTCCGTCAAGACTGGATGACAGCTTTTGAACTTTATCGATGATATCATAGACGGCTTCTTCCGTACCTAGGGATGGATAAAGTATACAGGGTGAGTCAGTATGAGACCGGCAAACTTCGTATACGGATTGCATAACTCATTTTGTAGTGAGAAGTTTTAAATAAAGTGAAATGCATCCTCTCTGAGATAAAAGGTGTCAGAAGTACCAGATTCATGTCAATTTCTTTAGAACCCATGTGGTAACAAAATTGAAACTAGTTATATTTTTCCAAAATGATCAATGTAATCACACGAAGTTCTAATTTTTGAATTTCGTTAAGCAGTGGTGTAGTTACAGTCCTTATCGCCACATTTTCCTTCATATTTTTTCTCAGGCAGACGAATAGGCAAATTGGTGTATGATATATCAGTAAGGCGCCCCAATACCTTGCCTAGAAGTACCAACATTCACATTCCTGAAGGTAGAGGTTTTTGAGATATTCCTGATAGAATTCAAATCGCATAATGCTGATCTTTACGAGACATCCATATACTTTTCAAACTCCTGAACATGTTTGAATGTTGAGATAATTGAGGGGTGAGTAAGAAAGTAGATTGACTACCTAATTTATTCTTATTCCACACGTTATTTCGAGGTGAAAAATTAATAATTAAGGAAGATGGAACACTAGCCACAACTGCCCAGGAGTAAGCCAACATTTTCGCGCATTTATTTGCTGCAAATTCCACTCTGGATTCTTCAGGAAATCAACCGAATTTTGACAGTGGTTATGTACTGGTGACTACGGTAGTGGTTTATTTACGCCAGTCATTTGTAAAATCAAATTATGGCATCCAGAAGTCCGATTCTTGTGCACAGTAAGCACAAGCAAAAGATGTAGTATCCCGAAATAAGAAAAGGCATAAAACGGAAAATATATAGAATATTATTAATTTACCTCAGTAAACGAATCCATCGGAAATTAAAATGGGAATATTGCTCTTCGTTGTGATTTGTAAATCGAAAAATAAAACCGAAAACAAACACGTCGTCAACTTGAACTTACCGAACCAGATAAAATCCATGGTCGTTCTGGTGACAGTGAATCTACCACTTTTTCAGCAACCGAGTACCGTAATAGTAGATTGTTTTATTAGGATCAAAAGTGACACTTTGTTTGACAAGCGAATTTTGCATTTGCGAGGCGGAGTGTTAGCGAAGCCGAGTGTTCCCAGGTAACAAGCTGACGTCATTTGTACGTCAATATATGGTCATTTATGGTCATTGACGTCATATGACCTCAAAATGACGTCATTCTGACGTACTTGATATGACGTTATATAGACGTCCTTGATATGTCGTCAATATGACGTCATCTGATGGTCATTTTCATGACTAATTATGACCATCATTTATTCAGTCATGTACATCAAGGAAAATCCATAATCAAGAAGTTTCCCATCTCTGTTATATGAAAATGTTAGTAGTTATGTTTTATAACATATATTATTATGTCACTTATCATATATTATGCTTCATAATAGTTTTTCCTCTAATCTGTGCGAGATGTGTGTTTTCGATGGTCTCTGAGATAATTGTTAATTATATACCTTCTGTGCAAAGTATTCTCCCTATAGCTATTAAAAATATAAGACCGAATGGCACGTCATAAAAAGATTATAACGTTGTTATTCCGGAATGCGAATTCAAATCAGAGCGGGAGAGTGCGTAGAGAACTGTATTTGATTGGTCGGCACGGACCTTGCGCAGATATGCGAACGTCGACCGCCAGCGCCAACCCACAGCCGTCTTCAGAAGACGGCTGTGGCCGGTGGCCAAGCCGTTCACTTTCGCAGTTCGCTTCGCCGTTGCGGCCATGATGATCATAACAACAAAATAACAATACAATCATAGAAGGCCAGCATTATCATGTTATTCGGCTATCTATGTTGTGTGGTGTGGTGGTCATACTTATTCATATTCATATATCAAGTAGTAGAATTTGAGGATGGCAGCATGGTCATTATTTTAGACAAGTGGTGTATGCCGAAAGAGCAGAATGTGAATTGGACGCCATTGAAGGAATACCATTGAGAAATCTCTTGAGTGCATCATCCGAATGGGATAAGTTCCCAATAAAAAGAACATTTTATGAAACTGGTATTTATAGTACCTACCCATAATATTATTCTGCATTTAATGTGGTAAAGGAACATCAATACAATTATACAAAAAAATCTCATCTTTCCTGATAATATTGAAACAACCCTCATGCAACAGTGTTTTTTTTACCTACAGAAAATTTCGAAATAGCACAAAATGAACTGAAACATGCAGAAGATTTCAGTGATATAAATAATCGTCACTTTTGATCCGAATGAAACATGCTATTTTTTCTGCAACCGAAACAATTGACTCAAATAAACATGTGAAGTAACCACCAATGCCGTGCCATATGTATGCAATGCAACAAATATTGACAAAGAATCCATATGGTGAGAATATTCTACCTGCATTAACAGCAGGTTAGGTTTTCTAGGATGTTCGAATTGTAGTTTCAATATAAATACAACCACAGAGTGACATATTTGTGTATGGACCAGGTGTCGCTCTAATGGCAAATACCGCGCCAGTG